TTTACATTTTATTTTCATTACACATTTTCTTTTAATTTCCCATGTTCACTCCTGTGGCACTTTGGCATTCACTAATGACTTATACAGATTTGTTGCAGACTTTGTATCCTTGTTGAAGTCGTCACAGAAGGTGAACGTAACGTTGTTTTTCGCACACAGCATTGCCATTTTAACCTCCGCATTTGTGACCTGGTTAATGTTGTAAATGACCTGCAGACTACTGCAGGTGGCAGTTCTCGCGAGGCTACTGGCAGTTCAGTTTTTTATGATATTATAATACGGGAGATTTACGGGAAAATACTAATACGGAAGGACGGCGGGAAAGAGGGGTAAAATACGGTAGTTTCCCGGCCAAAACGGGAGACTTGACAGCTATGCTTATGGGCCAGTTCCATGATTATCTCAGCTTCAGTCTTTGCCCCTATTTCCTGCTTGGTAATGAACCTTCATAGCTTGTGTTACAAACATTAAACAGATTTGTACTCCTTGGACTTTGGGGAATATATATGGTTTTGCCTATAAAAAGTATTCACCCCCTTGGATAGAGCTGGGCGATAAATCGATTTAATCGATTAATTCGAATTTACAGTTCAGGACGATGTGTTTTCATGAAAATTTTATTACTTTTTTTACACACGAGTGCCAAAAGCGGAACTAATGCGACGCACCATTCTTCACGGGTAAATTAGCGCGGCGCACCCAAACACTGTAGCAGATTCACTAACAACATGACAATGACAGGGGAAAAGCTGGCGCTTTTGCGAGGTCGGACACAGACCAAACAAGTCCTCGTTGCAAAGACTTTAAAAACTGTTGCAACCAAAGGAAGCAGCGCGACTAATTTATTCCAGCATGTAAAGCAGAGGCACGCAGCGGAGTGGGAGAAGTGCCGCTCCCAGCGAAATGAAAATAGCCGCAGCACCAGCACAACAAACAAAGTTAAGCAAGCAACCGTCCCTGACACATTTTCGAACTATGTGCCATATGATAAGAATCGGGCACGATGGAAGACGATAGCAAAAGCTGTCGCGATGTATAGTGCAAAAGACATGGTGCCCATTCATACTGTGGAAAAGCTGGGATTCATTAACATGCTAAAAGTTTTAGACCCGAAGTACGTGCCTCATTTTTCTTAACACTGGCAATTTTTCAAAAGCTTTCTTTTCTTTCTTTCAAGCCCAATGGCATAAAGTATTTACTTAATACCAAGCTGACATGATAAAATTGTGTTTTTTTTTTAATTATTATTACAATATTACTTATTACTTTTATTTATAAGTTTGAGGGCGTATTGTGTTGTTGCCAGTTTGAAAATAAGCTATAGAGAAAGCTTTCTAAAAGTTTTTACAAGTTTCTAAAATTGTTTACAATGGCGTGGTCTATGGGCTGCCATCTCACTTAAAAGCATCTTTTATGGCTTGTCAGATTGCACTTTAACCCTAAAGTAAAAAAAAGCTAAATAAAGTTAAAACTTGTTTTGAACCGTTTTTGTCATCTGTAGTTTGATTTTGAGTATGGGAGGGGAAAAATCGATTAAAATCGGAATTTTATTTTTAGGCCATATCGCCCAGCTCTACCCTTGGATGTTAATTCATCCTTTTATAAATCAGTAATGATCTGCTTTGGCTTTTTGGACAAAAAAAAATTACAAAAACCCCTGTAATGTCAAAGTGAAAACTGATTTCTACAAAATGATAATTAAATAAAAATATGTAACATAAAATAACTGATTGCATAAATATTCACCCCCTTTAAGACAGTATTTAGTAGATGCACCTTTGGCCGCAATCACAGCACGGAGTCTGTGTGGATAGGTCTCAATCAGGCTTGCACATCTGGACACTGCAATTTTACACCATTCTTCCTTGCAAAACTGTTCAAGCTCTATCAAGTTGGGTAGGGATTGGGTGTGAACAGCTCTTTTCAAGTCCAGCCACAAATTCTCTATTGGATTACACATGTGCCATATTCCTTCCTTTTCTTGATGATGGATTTAACTGAACTCCAGGGGATGTTCAGTGCCTTTGAATTTTTTTTGTATCCAGCCCCTGACATACTTTTCAGTAACCTTTTCTCTGATTTGCTTGGAGTGTTCTTTTGTCTTCATAGTGTAATAGTAGCCAGGAATACTGATTAACCAGTGAATGGGCCTTCCAAGCACAGGTGTCTTTATACTACAATCACTTGACACACAGTCACTGCACTCAGGTGATCTCCATTCCACTAATTGTGAGACTACTAGCATCAATTGGATGGACCTCCGTTGAATTAGGTCAGTCACTTTAAAGGGGGTGCAATCACTTATTTTATGAAACAGATTTTTATTTAATTGTCATTATTTTTTAATTGTCATTAAATCAGTTTTCACTTTGACATTAAAGGGGTTTTTTGTCTTTTTTTTTGTCAAAAAAGCCAAATTATGTTGATCATGATTGATTTATAAAAGCAATAAAAGGGTAAAACATCGAAGGGGGCGAATACTTTTTATAGGCACTGTAGCACCGGTCCACCCCAAATACTTTGGTATGTAAGAAAATAATTTAAAAACTGTATGACAGATCTTTTTCAAACTCTGCAAAGGCATTGTATGTGTGAGACATTTAGACTGATTACATTTTGAGATGGATCATCTCAAAAAACAGCAACACATAGTGATAGCAAAAAATGGGCAGTTTTTACATTTGATCTGTCAAGACAATAACTCAAAAACTGTGTGATTATTTCTTTTTCAAACTTTGCAGAGGCACTGCTTGGAACTGTTTAAATTTTGAGATAGATCACCTCAAACATGAAGCAGCAGCGCTGAGTGGAATCAAAGGAAGGAAACAGCAGCTATAGGAAACATTTTGTCTTGTGAACACAGTAACTCTAAAAGAATTTCGATGGGTCTTTTTCAAACTTTGCCAACACATTATAAGGGCAACAAACTGGAAGTGATAAAATTTTGTTTAGTCACAGAAAATTTGTCATAGTGCAAAAGAGAAATAAATAGATTATAAATAGGGCTGTCAAAATTAATGGGTTAACGCGGATTAATCAATTAACCCATCTGCAGCGCAGAATGACTCAAAATCCCTGAAATATCTTTGTTAACCCATTTCGGGCAGTTTTGGTGCGTTCCATTTGCCCTCGGAACCAGGGCTGTGGAGTCGGTAGATAAATGCTCCGACTCCTCAGTTTCTAAATCTTCCGACTCCGACTCCCGACTCCGACTCCC